AAATTAATATGTAAATTATCGAAATATACTTATTTAAAAATGAGGTATTTAATCGCAAAATTATTGTTGGTCGGTCAATTTTGCTAGGTGAGTGTACATACGAATTACATATGAAAAAGAAAGATTTTAAAATGAGCGATCTTATTGAATTTTCTGATATAGAAATTGGAGAAGACACAAGTCAAAGACTAACATATATGTATGATTCTATAAATATAGATGAAATAAATAAAACAAATATTAATATTCATAGCGATAATGATGATTCTAATAATGAATCTGATTTTTTTCCTGCAAAATCAGTAAAGTACAAACAAAAACAAAAACAAAGACATAGTGGTAATATCAGTTATCCATTAGTTTTAATCAAGCAAATTGAGCAGCTTCTTTCTGATCGAAATGATGATGGTTATGAAGATAATAAAAATAAAGAAAGTGATGATGTTGATGTTGATTCTCAACCTGCTGTCAATTTTGATGCACCTGATTACAAAGATAAAGGTGGTGAAATATTATTTACAAATCTTGATCGAGGAGTGACATGGATTGTATATTGGATTTTAAAATATCAAAAAAGATATAAATTATCTGACACAGCTATCGATTTTCTTGTAAAATTTATGAAATATTTATTACTTTTGATTGACAAAAAAGCATATTTGAGTTTTCCAATATCCTTATATATAGTACGAAAATTATTTAGTATGGATGATTATATGACTAAATATGCAAGTTATAAAATTTGTTATAAATTATATTTAATAAAAGATTTGCCAACTGACAAACTATCCTATTGTACATTCTAAGACTTTCTAAATCATTTAATGGTGAAATTAAGATCTTCTTGTAATGCTATTATTACGAAGCAAATATCTATTGATAAAAGAATAATATATCAACCATCAACTATTTTTCCTATTATTAATATTAAGAATCAATTACAACAATTGTATAATATGGAAAGATTTAAAGAGTCATGTAAGAAATAGACCATTCGACCAAACAATCATCAAGAATTATCTGATATATACGATGGGAGGGTTTGGAAAACTTTTAAAAACCCAAATGATAATCAGCTATTTTTTCATCATGAAGTGTCAGATAGACATTTAGGAATTATATTAAACCTTAATTAGTTTCAACCATATGATAATTTCCAGTATAATGTAGGAGCAATTTACGGAGTGATATATAATCTTTTTTAAAGCGAAAGGTTTAAGACTTCTAATATAATTACTTTAGCATTAATTCTCAGTCCTAATGAGCTAAAACTACATCATTTAAATCATTATTTGGCTCCTTTAATTGATCAATTTATTGATCTATAGGAGGGAATTACTATACCTACATATGAAACTACTGCCAAATCTATACGAGCTGCAATTATATACTGTGCATGTGATCTTTCAGCAGCTAGAAAACTTTGTAGGCATATTTCATATTGTGTCACATGTCATAGATGTAAAAAATAGCAGAATTCGATACCAGGAATCAGCTGAATTTTGGCAGATTTGATGATATAAGGAAATAGTTCATACTGAAAGACGTTAAAAAAATATGAAAAAATGCTTTTTTATGAAAAGAATGCAGAACCGATGATGCATGAAAAAAACATGTTTCTGAAACTTTAGTACATTGGTCAGAAGTATATCGTCTTCCATATTTTGACTCAGTGCAATTTCTTATAGTCGATCCTATACATCATTTGTTTTTAGAAATAGCCAAATGGATTGTAATCCATTTGTGGATTGAAAATGGTAGATTAACATTGAAAGATTTAAAAATAATGCAAGAATAGACTAATAAATTAAAATTACCATCAAACATCGAAAGAATCCCAAATAAAATCGCTATAGGTGAAGGATTTTCCAGTTTTACAGCAAATCAATTGAAAACCTTCATTTTTATATATGCTACAATAATTACTTGGAATTTACTTCAAAAAGCAAACAGAGAAATATTAGGTTATTTTGTACAAGCATGTAATATTCTTGTATGTCAAATTCTTTCTAAGTTGGCATTAAATAAGGCATATAGATATCTTTTATCAATGGTAAAACTTGTTGAAAAAATTTATAGGCTAGAAAAAATCTCTTCAAATATGCACCTATGTTTGCATATTTGTGAATGCACGTTTAACTATGGCCCTCTTTATTCATTTTGGTACTATTCATTTGAACGGATGAATAGCTTATTAAGTAATAATAATTTAAAATTTATTCTGATATTTTTATCGAATTTTTTTTTAATATTTAACTGATTTTTTTATAAGTTTTTTTTATAATAGTAATCAAAATATTGAACTGGAATTACTTAGAATCGTTCAAAATTATTCTCATCTGGATGAGATGTCACATGAAAATCAGCATCTTTCAACATATTTGTCTTATATCGCTACTAGGAAAACGATTAGTAGTCTTGCGACACATGAAGATTTCGAACTAAAGAAATATTCAGAGTTTTTAATGATGTCAAAAGACGTAAGAAAAATGGTAGGATCAGAGCCTTTTCCAGAAACATTTTTTAAACTAATGAAGAAAGACATTAATTTGCCACAAAAAATATCAAGTTTATTAATCCAATATTATAAAACTGCTTATGGTGTTTCAACAATAGATTCAATAATAGTTTTACTGAAAGTTAAACAATTTGGTAGACTTAGACTTGAAGCTAAAATTTTCAGTTTGGCATATTCAAAAAGGTATACTAAATCAGCGAATATAATATTCAAATTTATTTTAGATGATAATACAACTGATACCTATTCGGGTCAAATACAATTTTTTTTTGAACATACAATATGACTTTCAGATAGAGAAAAAATACATTTATTGGCATTTATAAGATGGTACAAACTAGCAAAAAATAGTAAAATGCAATTTTATTGTTAAATAGATAAAGATGTTTGTAATATCGAATTATAGAGGAAAGAATTTTTGAATTGAAGCATGATTGTATTATACCAATTCATAATATTTTAGAACGTTTCATTGTTGGAATAATGATAATTGAGAATAAAGATATCTAAAGGAATATATGACAGTTATTCCTATTAATAGAAAAATTCACATATGAAAAATCGAAACTTCAATAATAAATATTTTTTTTTTGTCTATAATAATACCAATTGGATAATGATCTCAGTTAATTGTCAAATCAATGAGATATCAGAACATTTTATATTTTTCGATAATATAACACTATTATCATGTAAATATCAAATATATATTGAGTTATTGAATATGTTCATATTTTTTATGATGCGTCTTTAACAAACTCAGTTAGAAATAAATAAAATATAATTAACCAATCAGATAATTATATGTATATGATTTTTAAAATTGTCAATCAGTCCCATATCAGAATTCTAATACATTAATGATTTGTAATATCCTGATTTGTTTTCATTCAACCTGTGTATGGTTTAAATCTAATCAATTTAATATAATGTTAATTAGAATATTCATTTGGTTAACAAGAATAAAATTATAAATTTTTATATTTGTAAAGTATTATTATTGTTATTAAATGTATACTGAATACAATGTTAAAATCTGTTTCTTTTTAAAGCATTTTTATGTTTTTTATATAGAAAAATTACTATTAAAAAATCAATAATAAATAATTACAATTATAATACTATTGACAATAATAATAAAGTTAACAGATATACAGTTCCATCAAAAGTAATGGTGGACAGTTTTTTTAACCTTATACATGTAATTTTATATCAAATATAGGTAAATTTTTTTTAAATAAAGATAAAAACAATATTTAT